TGAACTTTGGCCGCAGGCTGGGTTTCTGGCCTCCTCCTGGCTTTTCTCGTCGGAGCTACATCAGTGGAGATGTCAGGTGTGGATGGAGAGGAGCTGTCAGGGGTTCGAGCGGGAGAGACATTCTGCTTTTCCGGCGCTGCCTCTGCACCCTCGGCTGCTGCACAAGAAGCTTCACTGTCTGACATGTTATCAAATGTCTCAGTGCATACCTGGAAAGAAAGAGGAGGAAAAAAAGGCACTGCATAAACACTGGCAATAAACAAAATGATTTGCTTGTTGCTTTGGATAGTAGCGGAAATGCCAGGTACTGGTTTGTAGTTAACTCTCTTGTGCACTTCTCACCTCATCACGTGTCAGTCAACCTTTCAACTGAGTCAGTCAACTTCACTTGTCAGTTTAATTTTTTTGTTTAATTATTATTATTATTAGTAGTAGTAGTAGTAGTATTCAGTTTCAATCATGAGTAAATTCAGTTCACCTCCCAGAGGAGTCTGGATTCGTTTTTTTTTCCACACTAACTTAAGCACATTAAAAAAGTACTGAAAATTTTACCTTCATATTATGAATATTTTCAAATTAAAACTCCCTTGATGCACATGGGCTGGGATTTCAATTTGTGTTACTTTTTCAGAATTTTTAAACCTTCATAACTTTATAAGTACATTTATAACTTTATAAGTTTTTACAGTTAAAAAGAAAAAAACAAAAGAAAAAACCCAACGACACTTAAACTCGGATAAGATCTGCAATCGAAACATTTCAACAAAATCACAGCTTCAAAATCAGGATTTTATCAAAATGTACGTACAAAAGAAATGAAAAAAGAAAATAAAGGTAGAAAAAAAAGAGACCTTTTATATGAAATTAACTGTTTTAAGCAACCATCTATCCCACATAATGATACAACCCTGATAATTTCACCCAAAAGGCAGTTCTACCAACTTTTACCCAAATGATAAGATAATGAGAAAACATTTCAAACGTCCAGGATGCCAATAACATTTCAATTTCTCTATGTCACAAAAACGAAATATTAGGGGGTGGAAATGACACATTCTAATGTCAGGGAGATAATCACTAATTTCCAAAAGACTTACTCTTAAAACAGTGACTCCAGTAAATCAAACTTGTGATGGAATCTCTGCGTCTTTTCATAAAAACAGAAATATTTTGACCAGGGCATCACAAGAGGAAGAAACACTACATACTGCTCTGTTCATAAGCTGTTCTACTCATAAAAACGAGGTGCACTAAATGTTTCTTTAGCTCGGCCCTTAACCAAGGGTTTAACCAAGTTTAAAGAGATGCATTTTCTTATGGGTTTGAAGCAGAAGCTTTTCACATCTCCAAGCGCTAAATCGTGGAGCAAAGCCGAAGCCAGTTTGCCATGCCAGAAGCATGACTGTCAGGACAAATCTAATTATTCTTACAATATGAGATTAATGCATTAATCCGACTTTGCATTGCTTTTAGCTATCCATGGGAGTTGGAGGTAGAGATGCTGAATCATATATAAGTACATAGAAAGTCCAAAGTGGCAAAGAAAACAATCATCACACAGAAGAAAAAGTAGAAGTTTGTACAAATATAAAGATAATCCATAAAAATGTGTATGTCACGTTTTCTTGTAGTCCGTGGTAATATTTTAGCGCTGGGATATCAATACGTACTGAATGTTTACTGGATTTACTGTTCTCAAAACGCTTGCTAACAGTTTAGGAGAACATCTAGTTCGTGTCTTGCAAGTATCGTTTACGCGAGCGTCAGCTGTTTTTTAGCATCGACTGCTGGTTCAACTATAATAAACTAATAATTTAATGAGAAAAAACAAGCTAACTTAAGTTCCTTGCTATTAACTCACCTTTTCTCCTGCTCAGCTGTCAAAGTCGTAATGTTAGCAGGTGACGTTAGCTCAATCAGCTAATAGTTCTAGTAGTTTCCTCTTCCAAATTAAAAATAAGAACCGCCTTTTATTGTTTCGGTTTGCACTTTAGTATCTACACCTTTAGCAACTTCTAGTTTTCTAACAAACACTTTAATGGCTCAGGTTTTCGTGCTGTGTTTTTTTCCACCAGGATTAGCCACGTCATATTTTGTTTTCAAAGTCTAGCTGTTAGCCACAATGAAAAACACGAATTCCTGTTATTCTCTTCAAAATAAAAGTATGTGGCACATTGATGCTCA